CAGTAGAACTGGACTGTGCGTTGAAACTGTTGGTGTGCCCTCCTCAGAAACAAACCCAGGTGACGTGCTGTTCATTGTATGAGTCACTGATGGGTTCAAATGAAGGGAAATGATACCGGATTGCTTTCCATGCACGTCAGTGTCACATCTTATTTTAAAAGAAGCCTGAAATAAGGAAACACAAATAAACATAAACTAATAAGCTCTTTCTTTCCCCCAGAGAATTTAGAGTTATATGGATTCTCTGTGTTAGGTGATTAAAACAGTAACAATCAGCGTTACAAATTAGGCCTTGTCGTTTAACACGAGGTTTCCTGTGGTGCCCAGGACTTTTTAGTGTGTACCTTTCTTCAGGTTGCACATGAGTGACTTTAATCAGGAGCAAAGTGGGTTCTTTTTCTTATATGCCATTTCCTGCATGGCCCTTGCCTCACTTGGCTATTACTGTATGCCTAATCGACCACAGTGAAATGTCTTTAAAACATTTTCCAGGGGAGTAAGGACTTTTTGAAGAATTTTTATAAAGGAAAATGCCAAGGAGAAGGAAAGTTTGAATGGTTTTTTTGCAGAGATAAATGTTTCCAGAGAGACTGATGAGTCAAGGAGTTGTTAATAGGATATGTAAATGTAACCTTTCACCTAGTTCCTGTCATTACCTAGTCATAACTACGTCGTTTTAGCAGATTGTTTGAACTGGTTCTTGTCTAGTTCCTTAATGAAACAGCCTTTCTTGGTCCCATTCTTTTCCAGTCTATAATCAGTGCTGTTTCAAAGTTTGCATTGTCCTGGGCTTCCCTTCTCTCCTTCTGTTTTAATAGCAGCTGATCATCATATTACAGATTTTCATTAATATCTTTGTCCTCAGCTTTACTTAAGTATTGGTAGAGAGTTTTTATATCTTTATATTAGATATTGATGTTCTACCTCCTTGGTTTCTAATAGGGTGCCTTCTTTCACTTATCCAGCAAATATTTATTTGCTGCCAGCCATGTACCAAGCACTGTTCTTGACCCTAGAGATTTGATAGTGAGGAAAAATTCATGGTCTTTGCCATCATGGAGCGAAGAGTCCAAGATGTAGACAATCATTAATTAGAAAAAAACACAGCAATTAATAATCACATGATTGCAAACAGAGGTAAATGCTCTGAATAGAGCAATACAGTTTTATGGGCTTGTGTAACAGAGGAAGTGACACTTGATTGATGTCTGAAGCGTGAGTAGGAGAATTTGAGAGAGGGTGGGAAGAAGAGCGTTACAGACAGCAGAGGTAAGTTTGTGCAGACGCCCTGCAACAGAAAGGAGCAGAGTGAAATCAAGTAACTGAAGAGAATCAAGGGGCGAGTGGAGCGAAATGAGGCTGGACACCTGGGCTGGGGCCAGTCCATGTAGGGTCTTCCTGGCCACAATAAGAATTTAGTGTTTATCTTACACATCATGGAGAGTGTTTTAAGTAGGGGCTGGTGACTCCATGAGATTTGGGTTTTGATAACATCATCTGTAGGAGAATGAATTGGAGGGGGGCCTAGGGTGGCAGTGGGGAGAAGTTGGGTGGCTGCTGCATTAATCCAAGCAGAAATGACAGGATATACTAGGCCTGTTGTGTATACTGGGAAGTTGCAGTGAAAATGGATTAAAAAGTGCTTTAGGGGATAACTTCAATTGTATTTGGGAATAAGATGAGATTATCTTTTATTCATTCAACAAATATGTAGTGAGTCCCTACTTTATGCCAAGCTTTATGCCAGGCTCTGGGAATACAGCAGTGAATAAGACATGCAAGATTCCTGTACTCATGGAGTTTATGTATTAATTGGAGTGATGGCTAACCAATAAGTAAAAAAATAAATATAATTTCAGGTAATAATAAGGCCTATAAAGAAAAGTGAAGCAGTATAAGGGAACGGAGAATGACAGGGGAGGGTCTTCTTGTATAGAATAGTCAAGAAAAACCTTTCTTAAGAGGTGGCATTTGAACAAAGACCTAAATGAAGTGGGCAAGCTAACCATGCAAAAATCCTCTACCAAGCAGAGGGAACAAGTGCAAAGTCATGAGGCTGAAGCAAGGCTGGAACACCCTCAAAGAATACCAAGAAAGCCATTGTCTTCTTGTCTAGAAATATGGGAGGGAGGGAAGAAAGACAGGCGTCAAGGATGTCTTGCTAGTAGCTGAAACTTGAAGCATCTAGACAGAGTCATTATATTCTCTGCAGTCATGACTGGTTTTTCAAAGCCACACACTGCACCAGCCATAATCCCAGGTTGCTCTGTGGCTAAACCATTTTTAACACCGCTGCTGGAACAGCTTCCTTCATCACATCACACCTTGCTAAAAACTTGACAGTGGTAACTGCATGTCCGTCATGTCAAGATGACCCTTTGATCAGCTCAATGAAAGGGCCTCTCCCTTATCTTAACCCCATTTCCCATTACAACCCTCTGGATTTCTCCCATTAGTCAGTTGAAGGCCTTCCTCCAGTATTTGTTTAGGCCTTCCACATAATTTATTGTTTTTCTCCTTGGTGTTACATGTATTCACCATGGTGCCTTTTTCCTTTCTATTAGTCTAATTTCCGTCTCTTCCTTCAAGGCCCAGTTCACAAGTTATGGGTTACCTTTTCTACCAGTGTCTTCTGATTTATTCCATCTTACCTGGATCACTGAGCCCTTCAGCCTACTTAATCTGTGTGGTATTATTTTTTCTTTCTTCCTCCAGTCACTTGAAGAGCACTCCTTTAAAGTGCTACCATTGTTCCAAGTTAAAATATTTATGATTATATTCTTTCTTCCTAGAAAAACTTTGGCACTACTACTAGCTCTGCCATGTGTGCATGTGACATTGGCCAAAACATTCAACTCGCTGAGTTTCAGATTTCTTGTCAGTAAGATGAAGATAATAAGTCTCCCCTGTTTCATTCATAGTGTGGTTGTGAGGAATAAATGAAGTAAAACAGAAAATCTGTTTTAAACAAATGCAAGATATTATTTTTAATATTTTAGATGGGCGTATTTCATATCCTCATCTAAACTACAGGCTTTTTTGCACCAGTTTCCCATAGCGTGGAATCACATGTGTCCTGCAGGAATTCCGTGAGGCTTCTTGAGCTTCCAGACACGTTATGCAAGTTTGGGACAGCTCAGTCCACGGCATGTTTAGTTTCCTAGGGCTGCTGTAACAAAATACCACAAACTGAGTGACTTAAACAACAGAAATTTGTTGTCTCTTGGTTCTGGAGGCTCTGAGATCAATGTATTTGGCAGGGTAGGTACCCTCTGAGAGCCTGAGGGAGAATCTGTTCTATTCCTCTCTCTTAGCTTCTGGTAGCCCCAGGCGTTCTTGGCTTGTAGACAGAATTCCCCCTGTGTCTTCACATCGCCTTTCTTCTCTGTCTCCAGTCCAAGTTTCCCCTTTTCCTAAGGACACAGTCATTGGATTGCAGCCCACCCTAATGACCTAATCTTAATTTGATCATCTGCAAAGACCTTATTTCCAAATGAAGTCACATTCCACAAGTACTGGAAGTTAAGATTTGAACATCTTTTTAGGGGATACAATTCAACCGATATCAGCATGATTCAATACACATATAAGAAAAGGTAGTCACAAACATGGAAAATTACAATCAGGTGTCACTTAACGAGGATAGATTCTGAGAAATGTGTCCTTAGGTGATTTTCTCATTGTGTGAACATCATAGAGTGTACTTACACAAACCTAGATGGTATAGCCTACTACACACCTAGGCTATATGGTACTAGTCTTGTGGGACCACCATCATACACGCAGTCCATTGTTGACCAAAATGTTGTTATGTGGCTCATGACTGTAGTTCTGTATTACTAGAATGATTCATAGAGGAGATGAATTAGGTGTGTAAGAGCTAGTTTCCTGTATGATATAGGGAAAAATAAATGAAATACTTGGTAAAAGTTACATGTGAAATTCTGATCCTTCATATGTGCTTATTTTAGAGTTCTGCAAGTCCTGTTAACTTCAAATTGGTATAAATTAGAGCAGAGAGGGCCAGCCAAGAGAAGGAACAAAAGAACCCAATAACTTTTCTTTCAAATTTTAATAGTACATTCAATTATTATACTGATGTGAATGGAAAAAATATGCAATCCATGTGCTTATTCATATAATCTTTATGTGGACTTCTTTGTGTGTGAAAAATTTAATTGCTTCAATTGGTTTTTTGGCCCAGCATGCTTCCCTTTCACTTTCTGGAAGGCCACATGTGGTCCTATGACACAGACTGACCTGTCTCTGCTAAACACCCAGAAAGGTCTGTTTTTTATCTTATTAGATGCCCCAGCCTTGACTGATAAAACTCACTCTTCTTTTAGACTTGAAAAACTCATTGATGGGGTTGGCTCCATGGCCTAGTGGTTAAATTCAGCATGTTCCGCTTCAGCAGCCCAGGTTTGGTTTCTGGGTGTGGACCTATATCACTCATCAGTGGCCATGCTGTGGTGGTGACTCACATACAAAATAGAGGAAGATTGGCACAGATGTTAGCTCTGAGTGAATCTTCCTCAAGCAAAAAGAGGAAGATTGGCAGCAGGTGTTAGCTCAGGATGACTCTTCCTCAGCAAAAAACAAAAAACCAAAAAACCCCCAAAACTCATTGATGTTATATTATTGTTTTCATCAGTTTCTTTATTGTTTGTTTTTATTTTGTTTTGTTCTTTTTTTTTTTTGGTGAGGAAGATCAGCCCTGAGCTAACATCTGCCAACCCTCCTTTTTTTTTTGCTGAGGAAGACTGGCCCTGGGCTAACATCTGTGCCCATCTTCCTCTACTTTATATGGGATGCCACCACAGCATGGCTTGACAAGTGGTGTGTTGGTGCACGTCTGGGATCCGAACCTGCAAACTCCAGGCCGCCGCAGTGGAGCGGGCTCACTTAACTGCTATGCCACAGGGTTGGCCCCTGTTTTGTTCGTTTTTGATAGTGCAGGGAAGTTTGATACATTTTTACTTGTTGATGTTGGAGAATACCTAAGTGCTCCTCTTGTTTTATAGGATTTGGCATTAAGATGGTCCATTTTGTCTGGTGAGCATGCATTAATCTTCATTTGGCTTCTGATCCTGGCATTTAGGGCAGCTGTTGCTTTAGGGACATTGAGAAGGTACCTGAAGCTGGTGTGGTGGTATTTTCCTGTGTACCTGGCTGACCAGTTTAAAAATTTAACCATTTTTTATTTTCTAGCAGTCTGGCTCATAGGTCACTTCTGAGAAACCTGTTGTATAAAGTCATTCAGATTTAGTGACTAGAAATTGAATACTTGACCTTTACTTAGAAGAGTGGCTATTTTTTGTCAACTAGAAGAGCTTTCTTTTTTTTTTTTTTTTTTTTTTTGTGAGGAAGGTCGGCCCTGAGCTAACATCTTCCAATCCTCCTCTTTTTGCTGAGGAAGACTGGCTGTGGACTAACATCCATGCCCATCTTCCTCAACTTTATATGGGACGCCGCCACAGCATGGCTTGACAAGTGGTGCATCAGTGCACGCCCGGGATCCAAACCAGCAAACCCCGGGCCGCCGCAGCAGAGCGCGCACACTTAACCGCTTGTGCCACCGTGCTGGCCCCTAGAAGAGCTTTCTTAGTACAGCTCCCACATTCCAAATAGCCCTGTGATAGAGAAGGTTTTTAATTGTTGAACTTTCATTAATTTGCTTCATTATTATTGCCGCATCAAGATTTTCACTAAAAGAAAAGCAGCCATAGGTTGTTTATTTCTGCTTATGGTTTTTTGTAAAAAAATTTTTATAGAACAAGACACAGTGAATTTCAGATTTCATTGTTTTTGTAGAAACAAATTTCCCCTTGATATCCTATCAAGTAGATATTACCTGGAGAAGAAATGTTTTGATCTTAATCTTCCTAATCTAACAGAATACCTTCTTTCTGAAACTATAAAAGAGTGAAAAAATTATATGAAAAGGATAAAATAATGGACAGGAGATTAAATTTATTGCCACCTTAATCTTCATCATTTGCAAATTTTGATTCTTCCTTGCTCTTCAGTAAAGTTTTTGACACATATTTTCCCTCCTGAACATTAATACCGGAAGGTCAAAACAGTTACTGAAGTGATAACATCAACCAAAAAATGTGTTGAAGAGAGAATGTGTTGGATAGAAAATTTCATGGGCTGAGGAGTGGTGTGGTAAGCAGGTGAGAGGGACTATTAGGCAGGACTTTTTTTTTTTTTTCCAATTTTTTTGGTGAGGAAGATTCGCCCTGAGCTAACATCTCTTGCCAATCTTCCTCTTTTTTTTTGGCTTGAGGAAGATTAGCCCTGAGCTAACATCTGTGCCATCTTCCTCTATTTTGTGTGTGGGTCACCACCACAGCGTGGCTAATGAGTGGTGTAGGTCTGTGCCCGGGATCCCAACCTGAGAACCCCGGGCTGCCACAGTGGAGTGGGCTGAACTTAACACCCTGGGCCGGCCCCAGGACGGGGCATTTTAAAGAAGTGTGTTTGTTCTCAGAGTCAGGAAAGACATTGTTTCTAGCTATTTTAGATGTTCTTTTTGCTGTTTTTGTTTTTGCAATCTTCCACTGTTGTTCCAAGTTAAAATATTTATATGTAGATTCTTTCTCCCTAAAACATGAGCTTCAGGCGACACCTGGGAGCATCTGGTGTTTTGTGTAATCCAGTAGAGGTATTTGACCCAGGGAATGCTCAGCCATTAGGTTCCCGGGCAGTCATAACCTCATTATACCAGTTGTCTTATTTGATGAATTCCCTGCATTTTTTCTGAGATATAAATATGAAAAATATATATACTTGAAAACTACAAGGGCTTTTTTGAGGTGGTTAAGGGTATGGACTTGAGAGTCAGACAGCCTTGCGTTCAAACCCCAGGTCTAACTTTTAGCAGCTGTGTGACTTTAGAGAAGTGATTTACCCCCTCTGTTTCCTGTTTCCTCATCTCTGAAATCAAATAATAATAGTGATTAATAACAACTGGACTTTATGGTATTTATTATGCACCAGACATTGTTCTATGCATGTTCCATATTTTTAACACATTTAATTCTCATAGCAACCCTCTGAGGTAGCTACCGTTACCTCCATTTACAAATAAGGAAAATGAGATACACAGAGGTTAAAGTAATGTGCTCAAGGTCATATAGGTATTAAGTGGGGGGCCAGGATTTGACTCCACGGATTCTGGCGTGGGGGCCTGTATCACATGAGAATAAATGGGATGATGGTGTAATGTGCTTAGAGTGGAGTCTGGCCCATAGCAAGCACTCCTCCCCATCACTATTATGGCTACTATTATTACTGTCAATATTGTCCATTCAGATTCGTACCTAACCATATTTTAATAATAGTTCATCATTTTCCCAAACACTCTCTATAGACTCTGAAAAATGGCTTTAGTGTCTAAAGCCATTTATTTATTTTTTATTTTTTTGTGAGGAAGACTGGCTCTGAGCTAACATCTATTGTCAATCCTCCTCCTTTTTTTCCTCCCCAAAGCCCCAGTAGATAGTTGTATGTCATAGTTGCACATCCTTCTAGTTGCTGTATGTGGGATGCGGCCTCAGCATGGCTGGAGAAGTCGTGCGTCGGTGTGCGCCCGGGATCCGAACCCAGGCTGCCAGTAGTGGAGCGCGCGCACCTAACCGCTAAGCCACAGAGCCGGCCCTCTAAAGCCATTTAGACACTAAAATGTCTAAACTAAAAATGGCTTTAGTGTCTTTAGTATCTCTCTCGTTTGTTTTTTCAAAGGCAGTAACACTTGCATTGGTTCTCACAGGGGTTTATATTTGTTTTTAAACTTGATTTTTTAGCATGTTCATATAATAAAGTATTTTGTACAGTGGAACCATTTGAAGGTTGCAGCTGTGCAGGGAAAAAAAAGCCACAGGGTTTTGGTTAAGCTTTCTGGGAGTTATAAACTCCTGGTGGCCATTTTAGATTCGCTCCAAAAGAGTTAGGCCCTCTGGCAATTTAAAATTTTTGTTTTACCGTATAGTCTGTACTCAGTTTCAGGAGTGTAAGGTTTGAGGGTGGTTGGGAACTATATTACCTAATAACTTTTTTCCATTTCTAAAAATTATAATTCTCTTATAATAATCATTTAGGATGCCTTTTTTTTTTTTTTTGTGAGGAAGATCAGCCCTGAGCTAACATCCATGCTAATCCTCCTCTTTTTGCTGAGGAAGACCAGCTCTGAGCTAACATCTATTGCCAATCCTCCTCCTTTTTTTCCCCAAAGCCCCAGTAGATAGTTGTATGTCATAGTTGCACATCCTTCTAGTTGCTGTATGTGGGACGTGGCCTCAGTATGGCCGGAGAAGCGGTGTGTCGGTGCGCGCCCGGGATCCGAACCCCGGCCGCCAGCAGCGGAGCACACGCACTTAACCGCTAAGCCACGGGGCCGGCCCTAGGATGCCTTTTAAAAATGAAAATAAACTCATTTGCCAGGCGTGAATGAAAGTGAAAATCTTTGTCATTAGTACTGCATTCTAAGCAGGGGGAACATAGAAGATGGGAAGAAAGTACAGTCCCCTCCATATTTGCAGGTTTAATCGCGGATTGAAGGGCCTACAATGGTTGCGTCTGCCCTGAACATGTACAAACTTTTTTTCTTGTCATTATCTCCTAAATAATACAGTATAACAACTATTTACGTAGCATTTACTTGTATTAGGTAGTATAAGTAACCTCGAGATGATTTAAAGTATACAGGATGATGTGCGTAGGTTATATGCAAATACTGTGTCATTTTATGTAAGGGACTTGAGCATCCGTGGTTATTGGTATCCGGGGTGTCCTAGAACCAATCCCCCGTGGATACAGAGAGATGACTGTAATTTTATTTTTTAATGCGTAACCCTTCTGGGGTTTAAGCTCACCAACTTTGTAATGTTAACCAAGCAGTTTTTCATTTGTACAGCAAACTTGGTGGTGATGATGTTTCTGGCTCCTTCCCATAAGCACCGTGTACTCATGCCTGGTGGTTTAGTCTCGAGTTTTCAACTACAGGAACACAAAGGGAGGAAAGACTGGGGGAGGGACCTTTTAGCATCCTGAGAAGAAGAGGAAATTGATGTTTACACTGCTGTCAGCTAGAATTTTGAAGCCTTCCAAAAATAAAGTTAGACTGTATACCCCAGATTTTTTAAAGAGAAGCCTAATGCCAACTGGAAAATAGCAGTCTGGAAAGGTTTACGACCTGAGTGGCTCCTCTGCCCCTTCAAAGGCTGTGGTGCGTTAGGAGGTCTGTGGCTGGATTTAAAAGAAATGTTTATGTGTTCTCATTCTAGTAAACTATGGACATCAGTATCATAATTGCTCCCATTTATTGAGGTAGTTTTGTATAGAGGAGAAGAAAATCAGGTTTCTGGCATTAGACATTTGGGTCAAGTCTTGGATCTGCCTCTTACTAGTTATGTGACCTTGGACAAATCCCTGAACCTCTGAGTGCCTCAGCTTTATCATCTTTTAAACAGGGATATGCTGGTACCTATTTCATATAGTGTGGGAGTTGTAATTATTCTTTCAGGTGATGCATATAAAATATATGCATATAAAATGTTATATGCATATAAAATGCTTGGCACATGGTTAACTTCTTAGTAAATATTAGGTGTTATTATTGTATGTTGTATATCTTACATAGAGTACTTGTAATGCTTTCTATAACGATGCAATGTAAGCCATTATGACTATTTCACAGAAGAGAAAATTGAGGTTCACAAAGGGTGAAGGGCTTTGTTTGAATGTGAAGGCGTGTGGAAATGGTCTTTCTTTTGCCCTCCTCCTCATCGTGGTGGTTGTACTCTGTCCATCAACACCAAGCTTGTGAGATGGAGCAGAAGGGTATTGCAATTTGTTTTTTTCTGAGAATTGTGTGTTAGGATGCTTATGCAATTCACGAGATACACACAGCATTCTCAAACTTGTGAAATATATAGGCCCCTTTCAAAGGAAAACATCCTTGCTTGCTTCCAGTTTGACTTAATTATGTTTGTCATAATGTTGCGTAAATATATTCCGATGTGGAGTAAATGTCTTAGTTTATGGCACTCATACGGTTATAAAATAAAACAGATTTACAAATTAAATGCCAACAAAACTATAAAACCAATAAAATTCAAGTAATGACATTAATTTATGTGACAGATGTTATATTTAAAAAAAAATTTTTTGTGTGTGTGTGAGAGGAAGATCAGCCCTGAGTTAACATCCGATACCAATCCTCCTCTTTTTGCCTAGGAAGATTGGCCCTGGGCTGACATCCGTGCCCATCTTCCTCTACTTTATATGGGACACTGCCACAGCGTGGCTTGCCAAGCGGTGCATCAGTGCACACCCGGGATCCAAGCCTGTGAACCCCGGGCCGCTGCAGCAGACGTTGCACCTAACCGCTGTGCCACCGGGCCGGCCTGACAGATGTGTTGTTTTGCTGCAAGTCAACTGTCAACTTTGGGTTCGTCCATACTCAGGATGGATTTTGTTTAATCTGTGTCCACCTTTTGATTTCATGACATTAATTGTATTGTAAACCTAGAATATCTGTAGTTTCCTGTGGTTCAACCTAAAAAAAAAAAGTCTTTTTAAGTAAGTATATTATAACTTCATAGTAATAATTTAAAGGTTTTGTTTGATAGTTCAGAGTAATAGGACTTCAGGAATACCAGTTTTAATGGATGTTACTTGGTAAACCTGAAAAGCTGTTTGGATCTCTTCGGAGTCAATCTTTAAGTGTGGCCCTCGGCCTAGTCCTGGCCCTGCGCTTAGGGCCTGGAGTCCGACTTCCTGGGTTCACTACTGCAACGATATGTTGTATGTAAAAATTTCTATGAATTTTACATTTCTTTGTGATAAACCAGAATTACTGGGTCAACAGTCATGAAGATAAAAAGTTCTTGCTTTGTATCGTATTTGACTGCCATTTACAGTGACAGTGTAGCAGAGAGGATGTTTACCATGTTCCATATCAGGAGTCAGAAAACATTTTCTATAAAGGGCCAATGGGGTAAATATTTGAGGCTTCGCGGGCCACGTACAATCTCTTAACTACTGAACTCTGGCGTTACAGCATGAAAGCAGCTGTAGGCAATAATACAGCTTT